GGAATAGTGTCAGAAATTTTCTGTCTGGTTTGAACAAAGATTTATGTAACAAGGTCTTCAGGGACAGTTCTGAGCTTTCATCAAAAAGGGTGCTATCATTATGATACTATTGTAAACAAAAAGTATTTTTGTGTACAGAGACCTGTAAAAACAATGACGCGTATTTATTCTGGCAGATTTTTAAAGCGAAAAAGTATTTATGAATAAGTTAACGGATATAAAATTGAAGAAAAACAAATAGTCACCAAAACGATTCGAAAGCAATAAAATAATTTGTTTTACTGTGATTCACCATTTTGAAGCTGGATAGATTCATTTCGCTATAAAATTATGCTCCCCAGCGGAGAGTAGTGAAAAGCCTCTGAACACTACCGGGTTTCGTCTCCGGGAACGGACTGGTTGCATGAGAACTCTGTCGTTTTCTTCAAGCGAAACGCGAATTATATAATAGTAATTATTTTATTATAACGTAATTATTTTATTATTTACGTATAAGCCCGTTTATTATTATAAATATTATTATAATTATTTTATTATTTATATACAAGCCACTTTCTCTTCAAGGCTCTCCACAAAGGCATCCTTCCCAGAACTCCTTGGATAAATAGCCTTGAAAGCTTTGCCTTAATTTAAATTATATAGTCCAGTTTTAATCCGGTTTAAAATGATAAATACAATGTTTCGCTTTTAGACAGACAGAAATGTCTTAAATAGGTCTTCCATTTGTTATAGTTTCTCATTTCCCTTGAAAATTTATCGTCTTAAAGCATATGTTGGAGGTGGTCGAGAACATAGTTGTATCACGGTGATGCTGACAGCTGATCATGCTGGTTTGAGCATTTGTGTATGTATAATGATTTGTTGCAAGGAACTTTCTTTTTTTTAACCAATTATCTTTCAATGATTTACACTTAACACTACTATTGGACTGATGAATAGTAACCATTAAAATGTTATTAAAGTTTGCCTGATCAAATGTGTGCTACATTAAAATTATAAAGGAACTAGAAATGTGTAAAATTTTCACAAGCGAAACAAAATGAAAAAATTACAATTAAATTATTGTTTATTTGCCAAAAAAGGATTGACTTTTCAAATGAATATAATTTTTCTTTTGGCGATCCACAATAATTTGGGAATTACCGCGTTTCGTCCCAATTGATCCTTGAATACAAACTAATAAATTGCATTTGCCATACACAGAACCAAAATAATAAGATACGTGTAATTTAAAGTTTAGATATGTATTCAATGATGATTGATTTCCCCGACACGCTAATGAAAGATATTTATATAATAATTATATATAAAATGGCGAAAAATTAAGACCAAGAAAAAGACATAACTTTCTCACACATCGCAAGTGCATTTTCATAAAGAGGACTTAAAATTTCGCACTGAATATGAATAGTGTATCACTCGATAAAGTAAACGCGGAAAAATTTAAATTTCTTATTACTCTTCATTATTTAATATCATTATTTTTTGTATGGTCGGAGGATAGTGCTATTATGAATACGATTGTGTATCATTTTAGTGTCATTAATAAATTGATGGCATGTTATTGAAGGTCTCATATTAAGACACATTTAAATAAGAGATGCTAGAAAAATTACCATCTCTTGCGACATTATGCTTTTCCCTGATTAATCGTCTTGGCAAAATAAAGCCTTTGCGGTAATCGTCTTTCCTTTAGAACATACATATAGTTCGATTTGCATATTCTATAGTCAAATTATATATGCTGTTTTCTTCTCCTTTTTCCTTACCCACTTGTATCTCTACACGGATATTCACATTCTTCCATTTCGCTGCAACCACGCGCACTTTCATTGTCATGCGTAAGTATCAGTATTTTTTTCTATTGTTTACGGTGCAAACTGGCTACTAGGAAAGAAAGAAAATTATAATCCCTTCTTTAGTTTTTCTTTCGTGTATTACTTAGTGAAGTTTACTTCAGAGCTCGCGGGTATTATTGCCTTTACTGTAATTATTATTGTATTATTATGTCTTTGCTGTAACATCTTATCGAAAATATAAGATTTAATTTTTATTAGCACTACTTAGGTACACTTAGGTACACTGCGCAAAACAAAAAAGAGACAGTTCTATATCTTCCTTTCTACTGGGCCGATTGACGAAATTCAAGTTGCATTTTTCATGTCTCGAAAGCGCGACTTAGGATATGTATTAGATTTATATATAGCGTTGTTCTAATGCAGGTATTTTGACACAATATCGGGCATTTCCTGAAATGACATGCCAATGTTTTTCCCATATTTCGATTCTTCGATTTAAATTATGCCAAACTGCCAAGTTTTGTAAAAATCGCACTAGTAGTTTTTAAAAACTTCGCTCTCAAAATGTTAGCTCCTCGATGTTAATTGAATTTGATATACATTTATTAATATCTCTTTTTTTATTAACGTGATTCTTTCTTCCAGAATTCGAAATTTAGGCTTAATCCAAATATGGTTCGCACATTTTTATATGATTTATTTTTTAAAATTTGTACTTTTAAATATTTTTTTATAAATTTTTTGAAAACAATTTTGTATTATGACCTATAAAATTTTTAAAATCCTTCTAAAGTAGACGTATTTTTTTTGTACAGCTGCAAAAAATTAAGAGTTTTTTATTCAAAGTTTTCTAAGATACACATGAATTTACATATTGGGGCGTTTTGAAATTTGACATCTTTTTTTTTTGTTAGATAATGTCAAACGATAATATGCACTTTGTTAAAATTATTTGAAAGTAATAATGTCTCTGCAAGTTCACCAGAATTATTTGAAAGTAATAATGTCTCTGCAAGTTCACCAGAATTATTTTTTCAAAAAAAGGACATTTTTCAATGCTTGTCGTGAATCCCTCATGCACTACAAAAAGAAACGCAGTAAATACCATTTTTCTAATTTACTTTACTTAAGAACTGCCATCTTAAAACTTCACCTAGAAAGCTAAAATAGAGTAATTTAACATATGGGAAATTGAAACATAATACATTTCTAGAGAAAAAAAATGACCCTTTTACACTGAAAGCGTAAAATACGGTCATTTTATCACTCTAGAATGTGATACATATACAGCTAAATAGTGTATTACAGGCTAGTCAGATGCGTAAAATTTGCTAAAAAATGCATCATTCGTACACCAACACATTGAATGATGAAAGAAAAGACAGCTATATTCATTGCGAAATTTAACATGTAACATTTCACAAAGGCTGTACACAAAGTTTTCTGAAACTCATTGAAACATTAGTTTATGAATTTGATTCGCTGCTGAAGATAGTTTATCATCCGAAATATTCATAAACCCAAACAATTTTCGCCACACAAATTTATGTAAAATGAATTAATCAAATCCTGGATCGCAAATGATTTCTTAGAAATGAACACTTTGTAAGAAGTTTTTTAAGTCAATCAATGAATTTCATTAAAACTTAAAACAAATACAATATTAACAAATGCAGAGTATTTAACACAATGCTAAACTTGAATCAAATTTCCCGCATCTCTAAGGCAGAAAGTTGACGGCATAAGTACAAGAAGCCCAAAGGTGAAAATTGTTATTGTTTGAAAGGGAAATACTGTTCTCTAAAAATATCCAGGTAAGTAATCTCTTTTTGGGTTTTTTTCCTTTTCTTTCCTTTTAATTCTTCATAACGCTTTTTTGACTGTAGAATTGATGAATGTTTATTCCATTAGCACTTTCTCCACTGTGATTTATTTCTGTCCACGTTTTAAAATGTTCCTAAAGTAAGACATGGCATTTTCATTTCAAATATTTATGCTACGGCTTACTACTGCTTTATCAGGATGATAATGTTCCACGAAGCTTTGCACTTTAATAGGCCGACCAGCGGCCAAACAATAAATTCCCTGAACAATAGTAGTCCGACCTGAGTTTCATTCGAGACAAATAGGCTGGCTGCATAGCCGTTTTCAAGGTTTGTCACAAGGCCTCCCTTCCTTTAGGTAGATATTCCTAGCGTGCTTAGCCTTAAAGTAAACCAAACCAAACCTTTGCATCTTACCCGTTTTGCACCTATTTCGAAGATCAAATAACTATCTTTCCTTGTTATCTTCTTTTGAAGACATTTCCTCCGCTGCATTAATTTCATTTTGGAGTATCATTTGTTGTCAGCTCACTTCGAGACATAGTTCGTCATCCAAGACATTCTTCGTTAGGAAAATTTGTTGGTGAGCCGATTTGTTCGTGATACAAGGCGTTTGTAAACCAAGGTTCCATTGTAGAGTGATAAAAACGTTTGAAGCATGAAAAATATTTCCATCAGTCATTGAAGGAAGGAAGAGAAGAAACTTCAAAAGAAAAACTGCAAAGAAAACAACAAAATCGAGAAATATTTAGAGAAATTTAACATTAGTTCTAAAAGTTCTACTCTAAAGAAGTGTTGGAGTAAAAAAGTATTGGAAAGCTCGTTGCCTAATGACCTGATGGTCAAAGGCCAGGCATTTGATAAATAAAAGTTAAAAAAAATATTAGTTCTAATTTGCACTAAAACATTTTAAAGATTTCCAAAGAACGTGTCAAAATTAGCAATAAAAGTAAAATTTTCATAATCAGTGTTACAGATATTCTTATAAAGCTCTGAAAAGTTTGCAAAAAGTTGGTGGCACTGAAATTGAAGGTTAAAGTGAAAGTATTTCTCCAAAAAAAATTTTTCAATTTGAGATTTGCATAAACAGGAAGTTTCGACTTACTGGGAATGTAAAAATTCAGTTCTAACCTATAAATATTATTGGGTAAGTGCATCATGGGAGGAATCAATCGCACACAATTACTGCATCAAATGAATTCAGTTAGAAATACATTAGAATTACTTATTATTCGTTAGAACAGTATTATTGTCCAGTTGCTGTTTTAAATTATACTTCGAGATTCGTTGAATTTTTCCATTGAAATCAGTGTTTGAATAAGGTTTAAATGTATTATTGCTTATTTCTGACTATTAATACCTAATTATTTCGATTTAGGTGTGCAAATGGAATGACATGATGACTGCCCGTTGCAGTATGAAGGAAGCTATAGCGGAAGATTGCATACAGCAAGTCCAGATGTTCATAAACGGAGACTGCAGCCAGATTACACCAGGTGATCGGAGTTATCCACCAGATGAGAAAACATATCCAACATATCCAGAATATTAAAAAGTAAAACGCATTATCTGAAGGTTGATTAAATGCTTCACTTTGCCCAATTGAAGCTTGATGTCCTGTACAGTTTTTTTTTAATGTTTAGGAAGAAAATGAATAAAACCTTAACTTTTCCTGAAAAAGTATAAATTTTTGTAAAATCTTTATATCCCCTTATGTATGTAGAAAATATACTTACAGTTATTGGACTGAAATACAATTTGAATATTTCCTTTATTTCAATACATTTGAGATGAAAGAAATGAATGATGATGAAAAATTCACATCAGAATGCAATAAATCCGAATAATAGCAAACTGTAAATCCAGACGTATCCATATCGTGTTTTCTCGCATATTTCTCTCCTCAGTTTCCCTTTATGATTTATGGACATCATATTTATGACAACCATGTAAAATATATTCACAGTTAGAAATAGTATACTGTGTAAGTAAAAAGAATGTTATCGAAATTAATAAATTTATGTAATTTCTTTGAAATGGAGAATCCAGTAATGTTAGCGTTTAATGAATATGTGCTTTCTAATGTTCTGTATCCTTCATTTAAGCCTTAGAGTGTTTGCCACAAGATCTTGTATTATAAAGGCATTAAAATTAGGAAAAAAAGAGAAGCGTAGGGAGTAACTACGGTATATAATGTATTTTCTCGCTCCTTTCTGTATGCTTTCCTGGTGTAATTGGAAGCAAATTTGGCGCGTGTTCGAGAGATCCGGAGTCCAAATCCCGGAGAGAGCAATATACATTTTTCATGTCTCTATCAAAAAATCTTAATGACTTTACAACCTTAGAAATAAAGCAGAGGTGAAAAAATATAATCCTGCACAGCAGCTGTTAATAAAGAGTGAGTTGGATTTATAAAGGGAACTCTTTTCATAAGCTACATTGAACTTTTCGGAATTCAACTTATGAAAGGAGAACATCCAATAAATTACATAACTTTCAAAAGAAATGAATGGATGTTAGCGCTCGATAGAAAAGCTGCTTTCGTTACAAAGATGTAAAAAATAACTGTCTATTTGAAAAAAAATTTCGTTTTGCAATATTTGAATAAAAGAAAGTGAATTCTGTGCGACGTTTACTTACAAAATTACGTAAACATTTTAGTGAGAATTTCGAAACAATGCGCATTTGAACCGATAATGATTTAAAACTAATTCTAAGCCTAGAATAATATGTACACTTTAAAAGAAAAAAAAAACAGTTCTATATCACTAATTCTAAGCGTAGAATAATATGTACACTTAAAAAGAAAAAAAAAACAGTTCTATATCTCCCGTTCTACTGTGCCGATTGACGAAATTCAACTAGCGTTTCTAATGTCTCTAAAGCGCGACTTAAAATATGTATTACATTTATGTACAGTGTTATTCTAATGTAGGTATTTTGACACAAAATCGGACTTTTTCTGAAATGACATGCCAATTTTTTTCCATATTTCGATTCTACGACTTAAATTATGCCAAACTGACAAGGTTCGTAAAAGTCGCACGAGTAGTTTTTAAAAAATTCGCTCTCAAAATTTTAGCTTCTCAATGTTAATTTAATTTGACATATAGTATTTATTAATATCTCTTTTTTTTATTAAACTTACTTGATTTCTTCTTCCAGAATTCGAAATTTAGGCTTAATTCAAATATAATTAGCACAATTTTCAATGACTTATTTTTGTAATTTGTCTTTTTAAATATTTTATAAATTTTCGAAATCAATTTTCTATTACAACCTATAAAATTTTTAACATCGTCTTAAAGTAGATGTAGTTCTAGACACACCTGCAAAAAATTAGAGTTTTTTATTCACAATATTTTTAGATATGACTTTACATATTGGAGAGTTTTGAAATTTGGCATTTTTTTAAGCGATTAATAACGCCAAATGTGGTTTACGTACTTTGTTAAAATTATTTGAAAGTATGAATATGAATTTTTTTCCGCTCGTCTACGATGAAAAAAAGAAAAAGAAAATAGGTTGCTATAAACTAAGAAGTTCGCCAAGTAAATTATTCTCGGCGAAAAATGAAAAAATACGCCAACATAAATTTTTGAGTTTTTCGTAAATTTGGCACCAAATTTTACAAAATTTAATTTTAAGCATAATTTGATTCGTAGAATCGAAATATGGAAGACAGCTGGCATTTCAGAAAAGTCCGATTTTGTGTTAAAATACCTATGTTAGAATAATGCTATATATAAATCTAATATATATCCTAAGTCGCGCTTTCGAGACTTGAAAAACGCAAGTTGAATTTCGTCAATTGGTCCAGTAGAACGGGAAATATAGAACTTTCCTTTTTTTTTTTTTTTTTTTTTTTTTTTCGCAGTGTAAATAAAATATTGCTTGGCAAAACTGAGACGTAAAACAATATGCTGCTTGTCGTTTATCTTACAATTGTAATTTATCATGCAGTACAATGCATATTTCAGATAAAACATTAGCTATGCAACATAATACATGAATCATTCAATACAATACGTTAACTATGTACTACATTAGCCTTACAAAATAATACATTAACTATCATTACTATACCTTGAATTTAGAGAAACCAAACATTACAGTATTTTTGTTACCTTTGCAACACGATTTATTAATCGTGATACAATGCCACCCATAAATTGTTTTTTAAATTGCTAAAACTCTGCTGCTGTGTATCAGCGGAGTCAGTAATTTGGAAGGTCTACGATCCAGTAATACATACTGTGCAGTACAATATATTTCATAAAAAATCCTACATAATTTCAAATTTACCCTAAAGTTGATTTTGAAAATGCTCATCGCTCATCATTTTTGAGATTTAAGTTTTCAAATGATTTTATTTAGATTAGTTTCTCGATCAGTTTTCTATTTTATTGTATTGCTGGTGTCAAATTCTTGAACTAAATTTTATGTCTAACCTACAAAATAATGTGTGCAAATACCAAGAAAACAAGGAACCTATTTTCTTGACATTTGCACACACATTATTTTTCTGTGACAGTATAATACTCCATAGCAATGTTTTGAAAATTTTGTGTAGATTTCTTTAATTAAAGTTGAAGTTTACTGCAATATATTTGCTTAAAGATCAATAAATCATTACAGAATTTTGATCTCTGGATCATATATCTCGAAACATATATTAGAGTTTAAAGACACTCAAATCTATTACATAATTTATCGAATTTTAGCGGAGTTTCAAAAATCGATCAATTTCTTTAGTTATCCTGAAAGTGCTAACAACGACGAATTTTTTAATGTACCATATTTAATCTGGGATGTTTTAAATAGCCAGAAATTAAATGAATTGAACGCTATCTTACATAGCCAGATAGACTGGAAGTCCTGGAAAGACAGGTGATATATTTCATTGTTGAGCGGATTCAAAGGAATGATTCCACTAAATTGATGAGATAGACGATAAGACAGAGATTTACATTCTCTGTTGCTTTCTCGCATTCTATGGAACAAAAAGTTTAAATTAAAAACCGATACAAAATTGCTTTCACACTACACGGTTTTACTTAAATTTCCTAGAAAGTAAGAATTAAGTTTTAGTTATTTTATTGCTCATATTCATATATAACCTAAAATAAAATCGTGAAGCCCCGAAGAAGAGAATATGTTGGAACATTAATAGACTTTAAAAAACAATAGAAATAATAGCTTAGAAATGGTACACACGAAGGTCACTATGAAATTTTTGATATGAAGATAGGCTTTTAAAGTTATACTTGCCAAATTCTAGGAGTGTTCAAAGTACTCTCCTCCAGCATTAATGCACTTCTGTAGGGAAATTTTGAAAAGATTAACTGCCTCAACCCATTCATTTCTTGGAATGGATGAAAAAAATACATTTATAGCCTTATCAAAGTTTTAGTTATTCGGATTGAAAACGACTTCCACGTAAGTTCTTTTTTTTTTTGGATTAAAAAATAGCCAAAAGTCATGCATACAAGTCATACACATACAAAAGTCATCATAAATAGCCAAAAGCCAAAAGTCATACATTCAGATCGACTGAATAGTGAAGATGTTCTATCACTTTAACGTGTTTTTGTTGAAGAAACTGAACTGTCAATTTTTCTGAATGACAAAATGCATTGTCATGTTGGAGCACGAGTCCTCTAACATTTACTTCTTGAAGAATTTCTGGAAGACACTTAGCGGTGTACCAGTTAGCTGTGACTATTTTCTGTCCTTCCAGCTTGATGGCGTTGACCAGTCCTGTATGTCTAAAGAAAATGGCATACATTACGTTTTTCATTTTGGCACGTTGTCTTTTCACCATTGTGATCGTGGGATCATCTTCGAAGACCCATATTTCACTTTCTTGACGTCTTAGAACGTCAAAAAATAGTATGTTTCATCACTAGTTACGATTTTAGAAATAAGGCGATGGTTATCATCTTTAAGTAATTTAAGGGTTGCTTTATTGATTCTGACGCGCTCTTCTTTTTGATGTTCAGTTAAATTATAGAGAACCCAACTGTACAGAAGGGTTTTCATATGCAATTCTTCTTGAATAATTTTGTGTATGGTGGCGGATTCATTGTTAAATCCCTTTTCTGCATCATTTGGTAGGTGCAATGATTAACATTTTCCATATGGCAGACACATTATCCGGGATTACTGCTTACAACGGCCTTCCTTTATGTTCTTCATTCTGAAGACAGTTGCTACCTCTGTGAAATTCTATAAACCATCTAAAGGCAATAGCACGAGATAGGCCTTCATATCCAAATGCTAGGCGTTAAATGCATTCTACTTTATTTAATTCCACTTCAAAATCGTAGAAACATATGGCGTGATAATATTCTGGCAAACAACTACATTTTCCCTTCTACCTAAAATTTATTCTATGCTAAACTACTTGCAACTGGCCAATAAAAAATCGTCTACTAGAATAGCTCATAGTTTCAAATTTAATTGTTAATTTATTTCTACCACTTGTAGTGTTCCTCACTTATATCCTACTAATATAAGTGTTGAGGAACCTAGTGAAGTGCAAAGCGAATAATCGCAAGTCCAAGAACAGAAACGTAAACGCAAGAAGAGTTAATTACTCTTTATTGCTCAAAATAAAGATTCACATATGGACTCTTTCTCAGGGCATACAACAAAGCCTCTACTTGGGCTTAAACATATAAGAAA